TGATTTCAAAACAAACAAACGTGAGAGGCTGTTCCAGTTCCGGGCGATGGCGGTGATTCGCAAGCGCCTTTGATCGTCCGCGGAAGGCTTCTTTTTTATTTTGAAGGATAACGGTAGACTCTTTCAGTAAGCAAGAAGCTTACTGCATTTTATGCTCATTTAAGTTTACAATGAGAAGATGATACCTCTTGACTTCTGTCGTTCCGAGCTTAGAAATCTAAGATATCATGCCTTTACAGTAAGCTGATTTCAGAAAGGGTGGTAAGTTCACATTCTTCTGAATTTCTATCTGAAATATTAAAGGCAAGATTTTTTTTGTGTTTCCTGTATGTGTAAATAACGCTTCTTTTCCCTCTTTTTGCACCTTATTTTATTAAAAAAGCCCACCAAACAAACAATGAGCTCTGCAGGACACTTCTATAAATACCATTTATCCTTTCCAGAAATAAGCCTGGTTATGCGTTTCTTTTGGTAGCAGCTATAGTTTAGGCTGCTGCTGTCACTGGCAGCTCATTCTCTTTGCAGTGGTGTTTGAAGGCTGCAACTGAACTGCATCAAGAAGTAGCCTAGCTTAAAAAGCCTAGCCAAAAAGGATCAGGTTTATGCTAGTTGCTTTCCTGGTCTGCTCTCCCTCTCTTCCCTGCACGCAGTTGTGCAGGCACCCCTAAGCTGAGAGGAGCAGGAGCTGCTTGAGCTGGCACTGCTGCCAGGAGAAGCGTACATGTAATGGTCGTGAGAGTTGATGTTTGGTTTGTGTGCTTCTGTTAGCTTGTGTTGTAGGAATGTAGACTGCTTCAAGGAAATGATACATCCCTAACACAAATGACATAACCATTACATTTCATTTCCCTCTTGCTGTGAATGTTTTCAAATGTTGATACTAAGCGTTGGTTGATATTAACCAATCTGTTTTGGAGAGAGAACATGAAAACATGATGCTTCTAGATGTGCGCTGATACAAATTATCAGGGTATCAGAATGCTGTATAAGGTATTGTATTTCAGGCATAAGGAAATATAACCTTAAAAGAACTCTTCTCTTATGCTCTTTTGGGAACTGTATTCTAAAGAACTAATGCTATCACTCAAAATACTTGAGAAATCAGTGTTTGGGGATTTTTCTGTCTTTCAGAGTGCTCTCATTTTCCCCTTTTCTGTTAATTACGTAGCTTTGTATTCAGCCCACAGGAGGCTGATGTCTTAAAAATGGAACTGTTATTCTAAGGGCATGAAAAATACAATTTCTAAGGCCTGGAACTGATTTTAGTTACTCTTTCTCTTTTCACTAAGAAAAGTTGTGATTTATAAAGGTAGGTTTTTAGGCTGCAGCATTTTGTGATACTGTTATTAGAAAATAATACTTTATTCTCCCAGAAGTCTCATAATCTTTCTTGTGAACAAGAAGTCATGATAGAGCCTGTCTTGAACTTCTCTTCAGGTATTCCTTGATCAGACTTGGAACTACAGATTTGGAGGCAATGCTTTTAAGGAGGAAACCCCTGTAGAGCAATTTATCTCATTGCACAGGAAGTATTGAGAAAAGGACTTTTTAAATTTAAATTCTTTCACAACCAACCACTTCTAGCTATAATGTGATAGGGCAGGGTTTTTTTTGTGTTCTCTTCACTTCTTGAGAATCCACAGAGCTTATGTCTAGCAAGGGTATCACTCTGTTGTCGTGTGTGCTTGTATCATGCTTTCTCTGTGCAGTCTGGCGCCAGTGAGACCAAGGGACATTACTCATGTCGTTAAACCCAGGCTTACTGGCATCTTGGGGGCAGTTGATGTTCTTAAAGCTTCTGGGTTTTTTATGCTTGTCACTTTGGCAAACCCCCTGCCAGGTGATTTGTACAGCAATTCAACAAAAGAGTCACTTGTTCTTTCTGTAGGCTGATGGCAAAATACCACTATGCAGATATATAAGAATGTAGAGTGATGAAAGGGTGGCAATTTTTTTACATTTTCAGTCAAAAAACCCCACTTTGAGGCTTGAAGATTCAGTCAAAGGACGAAGTGGAAAAATCATAAGAAGAGTTCAGTGCTGTTCATCATCTTTGAGTTTTCTTTTGTTTTTTTTCCCTTGAAATGTTTGCAGTTGGTCAAGGGAACAGTCCTTCAGATTGACCAATTAATGGAAGGATGCTGTGTTCACTCCAATAAGAAGTGAGCAATAGCAATTTGTGGAATGAAGTAGTTTGGTTTTAATTATATTCTCTCTTGGCATTGCCATCAAGGGTTGATCTTTCTGAGCTGAGGTATTTTTCATCTGAAGGAAAAAAACTGGATTGAGGAGAGCAGAAGCAAACAAAAACTGTGTGGAGGATCATGAGAAGGCAATCTCTTCCCCCAAAGAACTTGTCGAGATAGATCTTCCTCACATAAAAGAATATGGTGATAGCTAACTGGCAAGAATGACATGGAGTACTGTTTGTGGAAAATAAAGGTGTGATTTCTGGGGGAGAGAAACAAGCTCCCCCTTTTCTGTGTCACATCGTTTGTCCCATGATTCAGCTAATATCCCTTTTCCCTGCCTGTTAGTCTTATTTAGTTTCAGAAGATTCCCTTGCCTTTTTGTCTTAGCATGCCCTTCCCCCAGTGTTTCTTCTGAAGGCAAAGATAAGCATCTTGTAAAGCTCTGCATCTTGCCTTTCTAGGGTTTCTTTTGGAGATGCTAATTTATACCTTTTCACCTGTTTGATATCTCAGTCTAACAGGCGAGGTTAGATGTATGCAGAGGGGTGAATGCTTTTTTTTACTTTTTGGGGGAGTCTTGATCTGAGCTTTAAAGAGTAATTTGCAAACTTCTAAATGCACAGGCTTGACTAATTCAACAGAAGTTACTTTTAAAAGCATGTGTGGATTTCATAAGCAAAGCAAGCAGAAGTTACTGTTTTCACGTTGGGAACTGACTTGACCTCTGTAAATTCAGCATGATGGTTTTGTAGCTCTCTGACTATCTTGTTCATAATGAAAAACGGTACCTTTGTGCAAAGGCGCATGGAGGAGCCCCAACTAATACTTGGGAAACCGTGCTGAATTTTGCCGGGGGGGGGGGGGTTCCCTCCCCAATTTTTGAGGGTTCCAAATATCCCGGGGGGGGGGGGATTTCCCTCCCAAATTTTGCAGGCTACAAATAAACTTAAATTTCGTTTTGCCCTAAATCTGTAAATAGGAGTTGAGACACCTTTGAGCATTCAAGCCTTGTGCTACTGCATTGGAAACGTGTGTTGCAGAGCACTGTTTACATACGCAAGTGAGTGCAACCCTCAGTTACTTTCATCTTGCAGCACTTCATAGGTACATGTGAGTGCACACACTTGCAAATCATAGATGTATAATGACTGGAAGGGAAAGGTTTTGTGTGTGTGAGGTAATTGTAGTTATCCTGTAGAAGAACCCTTCATTATATTAAAAGCATTAGCTCTGAAGCATCTACTTGACTTCTCTTTCTGTTGGCCAGGCTCGCACTTCTTGGGACAGGGAGTCAAGTGAAATGCGCTATAAGAGGCTTCAACATTTGCTTGAAAAAAGCAACATCTATTCCAAATTCTTGCTAACCAAAATGGAACAGCAGCAACTGGAGGTAGGTGTATTCTTGTCTGCAGTGGGCGTTCTTAAGATGGGCTGCAATCTGTTTGGGGTCTTTTTGCCATCCAGCTGTTTGAACTGAAGTAAAAGTGCTGTTAAGTTTGCAATAATACATGAAAATCTACTGGAACTGCTGCCCAGGAATGCAGTGGTGCTTTACATAATATTCAGAATTTGCTCTATAAATTAATAGATAAATCAGACTGGAAAGAGCATTAATTATAATTTAAAATCACAGTGTAAAGGTGGCACTGGTATCTTTACAATTCTTCTGTGGGCCTGAGTGCTAGGAAGAGAAAATAAATATTTACAATAAGAAACAAAGTTTAAGGGAGGTAGAAAACCTGGAGGGAGGATAGAAGATGCAAAAAATTGACAAGTCGAAAGTTGTGCAGACTATTTGTGTTAATTACTGAAGGCTGAGGATGAGTCATGTCTTCAGGATGTTAACAGAGGTCCCCCTCAAAGAAATTTATAAATTACAGTGATCTGAGGCCATGGTGTTCCCAAACAAGAGCTTCCATAAAATGACTTGATTTGGGTGGGGGGTTTTTTGGTTTTTTTTTAATCCATGGGCTGCTGAGTTCATATCTGGCTTTATCTTGACTTTCTTCACAGTACCTTTGTGGACAAGCTTGTAAGAGTTTATGCTTGAGAGAGAGGGAGAATCTTAGGAAAAGATTCAGGGCAGTGACGTTCTCGGAAGAGTGACACTGACAGACCTCAGGAACCTCCTTTCTAAAATACTTTTCTAGTTTAACTGTGAGCTCGAATTCATCATTACTGCATTGATAGAACGTGTGTTTCAGTACTAAGTCTTGCTCCATCTGATAAATACCAAGGTCTCTTACCTCTTTTTCCAGGGTCCTTTTGCTTTCAGCAAGTAGAAATAGTAGATGGAATGAAAATTTTAAATTCTTCAAGACACTAAAGCACTTCTTCCTTAAAGGCATTGTACGTTACTTATATTGCTTTCTGTTTTGCAGTGAACACAAGTGGTAATATGTAGAAGTTAAAGGGGAGCTGGATACATGGAAAACTTACTGCAATAGATGTGATCCTTAAGGACTTTGCAATCGGGAATATTTTTGTTGGAGTCTTTTTAAATTACTGTATTTAAGTGTTCAAAGTATTCACTGACACGCAGTTCAGAGCAGTTGCACTTTTTTGTCCAAGTTTTGCTTTATCATTTTAAATTATGTCAGAATAGAGGCTTTTAGTGAGATTGCAAAGCCAAAGTCTGTAGAGTACGCAGAACTCTACCAATGTAATCTATGCATGTTATCACTTCTATCATGGATAGATCTCTTGTGGGTGTTATTGAAAGATAAGAAATGTGTGGGATTTTTTTTTTTTTAGGAACAGAGGAGGAAAGAGAAGTTAGAAAAGAAGAGAGAGATGATGTTAAAATCTGCCAAGGTAAGACTAACTAGCTATTTTATGCAACTTTCTGAATAAAAGTCTGACAAATTACAATGTCAATTGTGATCAAGGTAAGTAAACTAAGTTAGATTAGCCAGTATTTGACTTGCAGGATCTATTTAATATACCATATTTATTTTAACCATGCTAAGACTGTTTAAAAGTGCTTAAAATTGCATACCATGACACTCATCTTAAGGAGCTGTTTCTGACTAACACTGAAGAAAATGGTTTGAATTTGTCTTGAGGTTTTTTTGTTTTAGTAATGATTGTTTATTCAGCCAAGATGCTGAATAAGTAATAAAAAAGATAAGCAGCAACTTTTTTGCTGTATTTTTAAAAACTGGTTAATAGTAAAAGTGTTTCAAGAAGCTTTCAAAGGCAATGGTTTGAGGCCGATTACATCTTTTTATCTGTGTCATGATAGAGATGCCTAAGATGGTGAACCTCTTCCTATATTTATTTTCTAGGGTCAAAATCCAGTTGATGGCAAAGAGGACAAATCAGGTAATGTATTAGGCTTTGCCTTTTGTCAGTACTGGTGGTTTTTAGTTTCTTTAATGTTTGATGTGTTATATAAACTCAAATGTTATCTTATAGGTGCAAAAAAGAAGAGAGGGAGAGAAGATGGGACATACAACATCTCAGAAATTATGTCCAAAGAGGTAGGCCATAAATAGGCTTTACTGGATTTTTGTAGCACAAATTTTAACTGGTGATGCAATCGCTGTGTGACATCTGTATTTCAGAGCAATGCGTTCTCATATATTGCCATCAGAGATGATCAGCCAACAGTAGTCTGTCTGTAACATAACTCTTCCAACAAAGATCTATGTAATAAGCAGTGTTGTCAGACCTGTAGAATTCGGATGCTTTTTTTTTTTTTAAAGTCTTTGGGGAGGCAAGCTGTGAAGAGACTACATCACCAGTTAAATTTTCAGTTACCTTTTGTAATTGGAATGCGTTCTCTGGTGTTTGGCCTTGTTTAAAGTCACTTGTATGATTAATGATGTTGTATGGAAAGGTTTTTAAAAGTATGTCCAGATTCTTCAATTAAAAGATCTCATGAAATACAAATTGTAGTAGCTTTTAAGGTTGAAAAGCATATAAGCATAATTTCTTTCTTTGTTTCCAGGAAATCTTATCAGTGGCAAAAAAAAGTAAAGTGGAAAATCAGGTATGTTGGCACATGTTATTGCAGTTTGAGTGTGTTAAGCCCAAAGGGAGGGAGGGAAGGATTTTTATATTTTATAGCAGATCTTTAAACTTCTCCTGTAAATAAACATCCTTCTGCTAGGTATTGAAGTCCTGAATTAGAAGTTTAAAAAAGTGGTGCAAGTGAATGCACTTAAATACTTCTTTTCTTTTCAGAAATCCAAGGTGAAAACTTCTAATTTATTTTTTTAAACACTGAATTTGAACATGTTTATACTTTAAAGAACCCTATAGTTTCAAAAATAAAGGAAAGAGAAGTCTACTAAGAAATACTTGTGCTGGTGTGTAAGACCTTATGATGTAGACATTTTTAAGTATTTGGGCATGGAGATAACAAGTGTGGTCCCTTCTGCTCCTGCCGTAGTTTAAAAGCTACATGCACAGTATGAGTTTCTTTCCAACATTCTCTAGAATCTGCTTACAGAAGGGAAATAGCTGCATTAAATTTCAGCTGCTGTGAGGAAGGCTTTAAGTCTGCTTGCTTTTATGGGTAGAAAACTTAAAAAAAAAAGAAATTAAAAATAAAAAAGCCCAATTGCTTCAGTAGCTATCACTGCCCTTCAATTCTAAAGGAGTATAGAATGTATATAAGGGATTGAAATTTTGCATGACATCTACCTATGTAGTAATATTTATCCTAAAAATAAATCCTACTCTTGAGTTGACAGTTACTCAAAATAAGTCTTTGTGTCAATGTGTAGTGAAGTAAGCCAGCCCCTAAGACTGGTGTAAATTGGGCAAAAATATGTCTTAGCTGGGCTGTGATGTGCATGTCATTTGTCACATGTTCCTTGAACTTCTCTCTATAGGATGAAAGCTCTTCTGACAACCTGTGTCCAGAAGACCTGCAGAAAAATGGAGACTCAAATAGCGTAATTAAGGATAGATTGTGTCAAGCTGTGCGACACAGTGCCAAGCAATTCCTTGATCCAGTACGGAAATTTAATGGACAGCCAGTGCCTTTTCAGCAGCCAAAGATTTTTACTGGAGGTGTAATGAGGTGGTACCAAGTGGAAGGCATGGAGTGGCTAAGGGTATGGAGCAATTGTTGATGAAATTGAGTCTTTTGCTGATTGGAAACAGAGAAATGGAGGGGAAGAGACACTAGAAGTCTGTGATCATAGTTGGTACGGGGAAGGTGAAGAAGGGAGAGAGAGTTCTTTATGATTTCTCATGATACAAGAATCTGGTGTTCTGAAGTTGTCAAGCAGCAGATACAACGTTTCAGCATGGGGAGGGTATTTGTAAACATTTCTTTAGACTTTCTGGTTGGTGTTTTCCATTTTTCATTTCTCCATTTATTTTCTTGTTCAACTCAATTGTCTTTTCAGCCTCTCCTTAAAAATACTTTGTGAAAGCAGAAGGACTATGCATACTACTAAGGCACAGTCTTACTATTTTTCTCTCTCAAGGACTTGAATACCTAGCCCATAGGTGTTTAAAGACCCACTGCCTTGCAGGTCTGATGCGGATGAATTTTCCATTCTCTGCAACTTGGAATCTAACTAGGAATATTAACTGGTTTAAAAATGTTTTGTCTTTAGCCTTTGAAATCAAAAACTAAGGAAACTTGCCACAAAAATTGCACACATACATATTTAACTTCTACCCGTTTTTGCTTGCAAGCCAAATAAGAACAACTTTGCTTTTTAATTATCAGAGCCACACAGAAATAATTTTCATTCTGCTACTGATCTCATATTTCCCTTAGGTTTCTTCTTTTTTTCTTCCCCACAAGCATATGTATCTTGTTTTAACAGGCTTAGGCTGATCTCACAAGTGAATGCCGCTAAACTCACACTGTTCTGTCACTGGGAAGTGCGTAGGGAAGACAGGCCTGTCCTGGGAGGGGAAAAAACAGCTTCCTTGGGCCCTCAGTTATAATAACCTCCTTTATGAATCTTTATGAACAGTAGATAGAGTAGCCAAAGAACACTTTTGTGTCTGTCTTTCTGTTCTTTTTGAGAGGTTGCTCTGTCACCTATCAGAATAGGCAGTGTCTGCACAAAGAACTTTTGCTGGAGCAGCTGGCTGTGTTGGTCGGGAATTGCACCTTTTTCCTATGGTGAAGTAGCTGTGCCTACAGCAGCTACTTGAACAGATGAAGCTGAAACAGCACAATAACTCAGTCTTTTAGAGGGGGGAGTTAGGGGAATTCTTTGGAGCTGGGATGAGTGAAAATGTGGGTAGTGTGAGCTGCACTTGCAGCTGAAGTACTTTTTGATAAAACACTAATTTACATCCTTTCCTTTGATACTGTTCTGGTTTTTGCCTCCTACATATGAATGTCTGGTGTTTACAAGATGCTTGTATTTTCATCATGGAGAAATCTTACTCATTTGTAGTATAAAATGTGCCTAGTAGAGAGTTTCTACAGGTGTTACATTTCTGAAGATGTCTATTGTTCTTAAGGTGTGTTGGCTATTTTGCATTTACATTTCTTTTTCTGTGTATGCAGATGCTTTGGGAAAACGGTATCAATGGCATTTTAGCTGATGAAATGGGTTTGGGGAAGACGATCCAGTGTATTGCAACAATAGCACTGATGGTGGAGCGAGGAGTCCCTGGTCCGTTCTTAGTATGTGGTCCTTTGTCTACTCTTCCAAATTGGATGTCTGAATTCAAAAGATTTACTCCAGAGGTAAAAGAAATGAAGATATTTCTTTTTCTTCCTTAGGTTTAAAAGAACAAATTATTTAATTTGTATTCTAATTCTTTGCCTTGAAACTTACTCTATATAGAACATCAGTTTAATTGTAGTTGTTTATGTGGTTACTACACGCTGTGCCGTGACTTGCTATGTATTTACAGCCATCTTGTAACAGAGCTAATTGTCTCTACTATCTTCTGTTTAGGTTTAAATGAGCTTAGTTCACCTGACTTCTGAACCTCTTTTTTTCAGATTCCGCTAATGCTCTATCATGGAGCTCAGCAGGAACGTCGTAAACTGGTTCGTAAAATTCACGGGCGACAAGGATCACTGCAAATCCATCCTGTGGTCGTTACTTCCTTTGAAATAGCAATGCGAGACAGAAATGCCCTGCAGGTATCTAAGTTCTCCTGAAGGCCCTAGGACAGGTGGAATGCCTCATCACTTACAGCAATGCTTTTGAATATATTAAAAAAAAAAAAAACAAACCACGTGCTGCCTGTACAATGAGTGTCATACTGTAGCATTTATATTGGCATTCACTTCTGTTTCCTTGGTAGTAGTGGCTCTGGAATTTTATGCTTAAGAAGTTCTTCAAACACAACACTATCCAAAAAGTGAAGTAAGCAGATAGTTACAGCATACCTACTGTTTTCATTATCTCTCCATAGATGATGGTGAGGGAGGCTTGGAGTAAAAGTGTGTAAATATCATGGTTAACATCAGAATGGTTGTTTCAGTGAGATGAGTTTCTTGTAGAAGTTTCATTGGAATCACCTGAGCTTTCTAAACGCAGTTACCATGAAGCAGAGGTATGACATTAACTGTTTGGACTGAGCTCTTCTAGTCCAGCAAAGTGAGAAAAAATAGTAAATAGAATCTTTGTAACAGGCAGTATCAGACGTCTTACTAGCGCTGTTTATCTCATCTGGCACATGCTTTGATGGACTAAAGCTAAGATTTTCTGAAATATGCTTTCTTTTTGTAGCACTGCTTCTGGAAATACCTGATAGTAGATGAAGGTCACAGGATTAAAAATATGAACTGCCGCCTTATCAGAGAATTGAAACGATTTAATGCGGACAATAAACTCCTGTTGACTGGTACTCCCCTGCAAAACAACTTGGCAGAGCTTTGGTCGTTGCTTAACTTCCTGTTGCCAGATGTGTTTGATGATTTGAAAAGGTGGGTTGTGATCTGATCATGAAAACTATTCCCCTTTGTTCTGTTTGGGCATTATTGTGACTCTTTAATTATTAAACTTGCATCAGCATGTGAAGAGCTATTTTATGGTATGGTTGTAATTTGCTATGACTATTTGGTGGTAAAGGCTTTGAAATGTGTCTTGCCTTCACACTTGTTTCAGAAAGTAAGGAAATTATTGTCAGCTCTGTGGATAGTGGAAGCTGAACTCTGAGCTAAGACATGGGCATTTGTGGGAAGAGATATTTGTCTAATAGTAAGTGCCTGGTGCTGCTTGAGATTCTCGGGGGTGCTGGAGAAAGCTGTGTGAGGCTGGCAGACACGGGACCCATGGGAGATGAATCCTTTTTTCTGAAGCAGTAGGGGATCAGGCAGAAGAACGCTGCTGAAACAGTCTGGACTAATTTTGGGAAAAGATACAGACTAGATTGAATGTAATAGATGATAGTGAATATTCCAACTAATACAAATATTTTTACCAATCACTTAAAACCTCAAGCATCTGAATTGATAGGTATGTTTCAGAAATACATCCTGTTCACCCTCTATTCATGATGGATATTAGTGCTTTGTTTTTCTTAAATCGCAGGATAAGAGAAGAATAGTATACTTTAATAATGAAGAATAATAGCTATGAAGTAAGCTATCCATTTTTTTTTTGCTTTGTTTTTATAGCTTTGAATCCTGGTTTGATATTACCAGCATTACAGAAACTGCCGAAGATATTATTGCTAAAGAAAGGGAGCAAAACATCTTGCATATGCTGCATCAGGTTTTCACTTATTCTTTGTGTTGTTTTTTTTCATGGTTTATTTCTAACATTGACCATTATTATGCAGCGTGTCAAAATCTTGTTTGTGGAGCTGAATTCTAGGCCTGAGGCTTTTATTGTAGCACTTCTGGACTTCCCTTAGACTTCTGGGGTGTTTTTTTTTTTCAATCTTTACAGCACTTAAAAATGCTGAAAGGAGCAATATACCTCTTTGATAATGACTCATTTTTATTCTTGGAACGGAATTGAGTTTATTCAAACTTAATTGCAGTTGCTTGCTTCTGTTTGCCAAAAGACTTAATTGGCATATTTATTTTGTTGAAAGATAGCATTGAGGGAATTTATGTAACTTTTTTAGGTGTTGAACAGCATACCTTTTGACAAACCAGTTGTATAATGTGCCTGTCTTCAAAACCAAACTAACACTCAAACTTTTTTATGGGGGGGTGTGGAAGTAAATGCTTACAGAACTGTCATTTTCCCATCACATACTGACAGTGAGAGTTATAAATCGTATCTTCTAGATATAACTGTCGGTGACAATTTAATGTTTATTATTTTGGGCTTTCCCAGAATAGCTTGATTTAAGAAATATAACAATCAAAATGAGCTGTTTCATAATAAAATAAGTTTCAGTTAATGAAAATTATTTGAAAGGTCTGTAATGTAGTTACTACTGCACCCTTATTAAACACTTCAAAATTTTTCAAATGCCAAGGGATGTGTTGTTTGAATACATGTATTACCAGCATGCATGTAAAAGTTTTGGAGCAGGTATCCATATTAAAAAATGAAATAATGAACTCTGCAAATTAACTCCCTTGCTTTAAATTGTCAAAATAGTATTATATTTTTTTTTTTTTAAGCTAGCCATGTTGAGAGCTTTGAGTAATTGTAACACATCTGCTCAACATTTCAGATTCTGACACCTTTCTTACTGAGAAGACTGAAATCCGATGTTGCTCTTGAGGTTCCTCCTAAACGAGAAGTTGTGGTATATGCACCACTGGCAAAGAAGCAAGAAACTTTCTATACTGCCATTGTAAATCGCACCATTAGGAAACTGCTCAGGAATAATGAGGTATCTACTGATACGGATGGTAGAAATGTGCTTGCTATTAATGGTTTGTAGGCAAAAACACATTGGTATTGCTTCATTACCATTGTAACTAAACACACTTTTTGCTTAAATTTTAAGTCTGATTCTTTTGTTATCTATTTCAGTGGCAGTTACTGTGACTGGCCTCAGTGGGCACAGAACTAATACAATATGAGTGTAAATATGTTCTTGATTACTTGTAGCTTGGGTGAAAAACAAGATAGTTTTCATAGTTGTCAGCTTCTGCTGTAAAATCAGTAAGGTACTTTTAAAAATCAAGCAGAACCTTTCAAAATCTACAGTTACAGACCTTTAAAATTTGGGCTGCATTTTCTACTTAGCAAAACTTAGAGCTGTTGAGTCTAAGCATTGCATGATGCTATCACTGAGACCTCTTTTCAGTATTGAGAATTCTTGGGTCAGCATATGCCTTTGAATCTGAAGCTATCTGCTGTTGATGGCGATGTTATAATTTCCCACAGGAGGAAGTAGTTGAGTTGAGTCCTACAGGCCGGCCGAAACGCCGTAGTCGAAAACTGGTTGATTATTGTGAAGAACATAATGGTTCACCTGATGACTTGGAAAAATTGATCAGCAAAATGCAAGAGGAAGTAGAAAAAGAGAGGTGCCTGCCCTAAAAGATACTTCTTTTTTAATTATACTAAATATCTAATACTTAATATCTACCTCTTAATTTGCTTTCAAAGCTTTGCTTATTCAAATTGATCAAGAAGAATGACATTTCATAATTCGCTATCCTTGTATCTTTCATTTGTTCCTTTTCTTTTACCTAATATTCACTGGGCCATGATTGCAATGATTAGGTTGGACCATCATTCTCTGTCTCATTAGAGTTGTAGTTAACTACAAGACATTTACTCCTAGACCTGTGGCCTTTGCAGGATCTAGCAATAAAATTGCTTCTTGAGTCTCTGTTTTCATTAGTTACAGTCTTAGGTAGGTCCTGCGATGCTAATGCTATTGCTAATACATAAAGAGCTAAAATGTTCTAGTGCGAAATGTAATTCCTTTGGGTTGTTAAAACATTTTGGTAGTGAAGAACTGTGGTTTCACTGAAGACTCAATGGCTAAGATAGTGTTGGGTGCAAGCCAGGGAAGAACAGCTTCATCTTAATTATTTGGTAGTTGAAATTTCATTGTAATAGCTTGGATCCTGGCTACAGCTAGCAATGAGGACAAAGAGCTGAAGAGCTCAGCTAATGGCTAGGTTTTGCAGGCTTTGCAAGGTTCAGGTAAACCTTTTGTCTGCAATATCCAATTACATTCATAGGTACGTCTTTTGTTGGCTCAAAGACAGGACAAGGGATAATGCTGGTGTGCTAACTACAGTTAACTCCTAGGTTTTTGTGGAATTACTCAGGAACACTTGAAGCAAAGTTTGGCCTCAAGACTGGAGAAAAGGGAGGAGTAGTTTCCTTGCTAAATTTTGTAAAATATGTAGGCTTAAGCTTGAGGCCCGGAACCCAAATGGCCAGCATGGTTATTGCTGTTTTGGTGACAGGTATTAGTCACTTTCTGGTGGTTAAGATCAGACTTGAGGTTCAGGACTGAGGGAGCTGAGGAATCATGTTCATTCCTGGGTTTCACAGGGTCTATTGGTAGCTCTAAATTGTTTGGAAGTCCCTTGGGCATAAGGAAAACCAGGTTAATCTTCAGGGTTGAAATGTATTTATTTTGCTAGATTTTTATTGTAGTCCAGTGGACTTTGCAAGAACAGACACTTAAATATGTTTGTATTAGTTTTATGGTATGCGTGGATCCCTTATGTTGGAGACGGTACTTAAATGTGGAAGAGCTAAGTAGCTGTATTCATTGTGAATCCTGCAATGTGTATGTGTGGCTGAAATGGGATAGGCAGAGAGCTGATTTTGGAATAGCTTATGTATTGTTCTGCCGGAGATCTGACTGTTCGTTTTACAGAGGGCTTGTTTCTGTTCCCTTTTCTGCTGGGTGACTTGCACAAGTTGTTTTTTTCTGCTTCTGATTACTACTGACTGCCCTTTTGTATTTTAAACCAATAATGGCAAACCCTTGTGCCTTTGGTGCCAAGTGTGGCACTAAAAGAAGTTTTGTCTGCTAGTAGCTTTACTGACTATGAGGGATTTTGAGGACATTTGACACAGCATGTGAGTCCATTGCTTGATTTTGTTTTTATTATTATTTTTGTTCTCTTCAGTATCTGTAGCATAATAAGGTGACACTTTCTGTACTAATAAGATGACATATCTTTTCAAGGCCAGTGGTAGAAGTGAGCATTCCCATGGATTCAGAGGTGAACCTTAAACTGCAGAATATTATGATGTTACTGAGGAAATGTTGTAATCACCCCTATCTTATTGAATATCCATTGGACCCTGCTACACAACAATTCAAGGTACATATTTTACAAGGATTATGAGAAAAAATATTCCAGGCATTAAAAAGCAATAGACTGTGAGCTGACAGCAGTAAAAATGACCTTTTCGATGTATTTCGCATATGCCTTCCCATTGAATTCCGGCAGCGTACTGAATCATTATTTGAAGCTTCCTGCAGCAGCAGTTGCAGAGACCAGTTCGGCCTCTGTGCCCATTTAGCCTTTGCATAGCGATGCCATAGTGTTCTTCATTATGGCAGCGCTCATCTGCTGGGAGCAAAGTTATTGAATTCAAACAGTAGCTGGGTTCCATTGACTCCAGGTATTTTAGGATCTGCCTCAAGTTCTCATCACAAAAATTGTACATGCTGCAGGAGGTGCAGTGGTAGCTTCCAAGTGTGAGGTGTTGAAGGGCTGAACCAAGTACAACAGAGTTGTCTGCTCATAGAATACAGCGTCCTTTCTCCTCGAAAGGGGAAAAATCCAAATTATGTCACAAAGGCCAGCTGTAGTTTAATCAACACAAAGCAGTTGGCAATATAGGAAAGTATGAAGTAATTTGAATTGAAAGAATCTTGAACAACTGGAAGTTGCTTGCACTTTCTAAATGTAGGTTCCGTGGGCATGTGTAGTCATGTTTCCTGTTCAGTGAGTGATAACAGATTCAGCTACACTCAGGAGCAAGCTGTTGGAAGTTTATCAATGTAGAGTCAGTGCATAAAAAGCAGATAGCCCAGTCTGGGTGGTGAGGGGAAATTCGTTAATGTGTAGAAAATGAATACTCTCTGACGGTTGACATCACTTGCAGAAGCTAGTACCTGCTCAGGAAAATGGATTAGGAATTATCGAGGTGGCTGCTGTATGGCTCAGATCTGAGAAGTTTCTTCATCCCTGTTCTTAGCCCATAGCAAGAATTAGATATAACAAACTCTCTTGAGCAAAAGAGGGGTCTGAGGTAGCAGTGTGAAATCTTGTTCTGTGAACGTCTGTCACTTGGTGTGTAGTAACTTGTTCAGCAGTGCTTCCTTATGTCCAGTAGGTGGAAGCCTTGTGCATTAATTACAAGCTGGGAAAGAAACAACAGTGCTTTTCCATGTGGAAAAGTGCTTTTCCATTTTTCCATCAGGGTTTCTCCTTCCAGAAAAGGGATGAAAACTAATTAGTTTTTTAAAATTATTTGGGCATATGAAATGGTGGGGTTTGATTTAGTTTCATCATGATTTAAGTGATTCAATGTAGTTTGCTAAAATTAATGTTGCTTCCAATCTTATGGCTTGTAATTAAAAAGATGGTACAAGCTTGTTTCTGTGAGAAGCTTTCAGACAGCTTTTGTTGGTACTTCTGAGTCAGGGAAACCTTTGATATCCTTCCCTCCTAATATATGATCCCCTCTCCCGTGTTCCAAGGTTGATGAAGATCTAGTAAAGAATTCCGGCAAGTTTCTACTCTTGGACCGAATGCTTCCAGAACTGAAAAAGAGAGGACATAAGGTAAAACTAATGATTTTTGGGGGGACCATAGTTGTCTCCTTATGACCAAAAAACGGTATTAAGGAATCTTCCCGGTTTTGTAGGTCTTGTTGTTCTCGCAAATGACTATGATGCTTGACATTTTGATGGATTACTGCTATCTGAGAGACTTCAAATTTAGTCGACTGGATGGCTCTATGTCCTACTCGGAGAGAGAAGAAAATGTAAGTAGATGTACATGCCCTTTGAGTCTGTTAGCAAATTCTGCTTGTTCCTGTGATGCTGGAATATGATTTCACATAGCATTTAGCCTTTAATAGGCAAGAGACGTCTATGATGAAAACTGACGTCCTTATTGCTGCTTTAATATCTGCAGCTCAGAAATACTGAAGCAATGAAATGTGTTACTACCCAGTATCTTGGGATATGCTTAGAATGATGGGTGCTCATGTACTCTGTTGCCCAAATGTGAAGTATGTGATGTATCTAGATTGTGGCAGATGCTAATCCCAGCTTTACCCCTGCACGTATTGTTTCCTAGCATCCAATATGTGATGCCAACAGCTATGGGAGCATACTGCAAGTCTAATGCCAAATGAAGTAGACTTCTAGGAAATGAGGTTTTGTACCTAGTGGGACACCTGTAATTTCAGCCTGAAATTGCACGTGGATTTGTTTCAGCACAATCCTTTGTTCTTTCATACTTTTAATGGTTTCCGATAACCACAGAATGCCTTACTATTGAGGCACATATTTATCATGAAGAGCAGCTATGCAGGGTGGTTCTGGAAAACCACCTCTCTGAGGGTCTTGCAGGGATGTATCTAGGGGATGTGCTGCAATTGTCACCTGGTCTCCAAAGTATGCACTAGTGTTTATGAAGATTTGTCATTTGCCACTGTTTTTCCATTTCTAGTTCAAATTGTGCTTCCCTTTGCCCCATGTTTTTCTGTGCCGCAGTGTGACTGAGGAAAACCAAACCCCTAAACACTTAGGTTGCTACTGTTAGAGCTGATTCTTAGAGGAAAGGCTAACTAGCAACCTGTCAGCAAGCTATAGTGACTTTTATTAAGCTGGTAAAATTTTGTACTGCTGGCTTGTGGGGATTTTTAGGAGTTGATTGTGTGCCTACCACAGTGTGGTATGGGTGCAGGATGAGAGAAATCTTCCAGATCACCAGCTGAAGTTCAGCAAGGCTTTTCCTAGTTCCATGATTTGCTGCTGGTGCTGCAGATGCTGATGTCCAGGAGAGCCCAGAGGATATGGGGCTTTCAGAGACCTTGGGTAGCTGCTTCCACCTGGCAGTGGGGTGATGGTTTCTTTTTTCTGCTGTGATCAAAGTCCTGAAAATTACTACACACTTGTAGTTTTCTGCCAGCATGTGGGTGGTCAGACTAAGTGTACTAGGTTTTGACTGGTATTGCAGACCTGGTAGGAGCATCTTGCAGTGATGATGCAGGCTAGATGCTGAGTAGGAGGCCAGAAAGTTACTCTTAGTTTTGAAGTAAGAGGAGGAGGAGGTATACGGGGTGGCTGGAAGTAACAGTCAAGTTGGCATCAGTATTTTAGATTGTTGCTTGCATCAAGAAGTAGATACAGTTTTAGGCTCTGCCAGCTTGGACTATGCTCACTTTGCTCACTACTGGATGGTAATTTATGTGGAGTGAATGTGATTTTGACCATACCTCACTATAATCATCTCCACTCTGTGTGTTAGACAGACAACTCATTGACTAGAATCATCAGATAAGAAAATACAGTTGCTTCACTTCTTGGTCGTGTTCTGTCCCAAATGCATGTGATGTTTCTTAGAGCCTGAGTTCGGCCTCTGGCAGTGCGTGCTGTATTTTATCTTTGTTCATCTTTTTAAACACAGGTCTCTCAAAATAAAACATTAGCTACGTTGTGTTTAATCCATCTGCTGTTTTTTAATAGACAAATTCTCTTCCAGATGCATCAATTTAATACTGACCCTGAAGTCTTCCTGTTCTTAGTGAGTACAAGAGCTGGAGGCTTGGGCATTAACTTAACTGCAGCAGACACAGTTATCATATACGATAGTGACTGGGTATGTTGACAGACTGTTAACCTAGTTATATGTGTCATAAAATGCTTTCTCTATTGCTGCTTTTGATAATCATTTACTAACCCATTACCAGACCATTTCCGTAACTTTCATGAGCTGTTACATGAAGATAATAGTAAGTAGTATATGCAAACATGTTATATGTGAAATATGCAGGCTCATTTGAAAAGTCCTAGCTTACTGAACAACACAGTGTTAGAGTTGGTTTCCAAAACTAGCCTGTTTGCCCCTGAGTTACATGAAAAGCAGGAGGGGTTTTTCTATTACTGTTGAAGATATGTTTCCTTCTTTTGATCTATTATATAAGTTTGAATGTAGCTGGACCTTCTACAGGTTCTTTGTTTCCAACAGCTGCCATATTTAGTACTAGCCCCTTGAATTTCGTGTTGTGGCTTGCCACATGTGTTTTAGCCAGCTAGGATTCTGCTCCTCCTGCGAGTCTGGAGGTTGGGAAGAAAAGAGGTATGGAACAAAATGACTGAGGAACTCTGCATCTTCACTTTATTTTAATAGACAGCTCTGCTGTTTGCATGACTATTCAGCTTCAGGAGAGCTAAAGCAGCTTCAGAAATGGCTGAAAACTTTTAAAATCCCTTTTCTTATCCTCCAGCAAAAAACACCACAAACCTACAGCTAACACCCTCAGCTAAATTTGTGATACAAAACATCCATCTGTTGAAAGCACACAGTGCAGAATTAGTCTGAGCTAGTTGGGTTACTCTGGCTGTGCAGCTACAGCAGCAGAGCTTGTCATGGACGAGTTTAAGAGTAAAGAGATGTAGAGTTCTATTATACTGTGGCTGCCCTGCTTGTTGCTTCCACTCTGACTCTCAGAGCTTGCCATTGAAAATGCTACTTGTGGTATGTCTCTTAAAAAAAGGTTAATGATGTAGCTAACTTGTTTCTTATCTGCTCAGAACCCTCAGTCAGACTTGCAGGCCCAAGACAGGTGTCACAGAATTGGCCAGACAAAGCCGGTGGTTGTTTATCGTCTTGTGACAGCAAATACTATTGACCAGAAGATTGTGGAGAGAGCTGCTGCCAAGAGAAAGCTGGAGAAGCTGATTATCCACAAAAGTTAGTATCTTTCTCTTATGACTGCCTGTAAGCATATGTTGCTTCTTTAAATCTCAAGAGAGAATGTTTTGTGACGGCTTAGTATTTTTTCTTAAATGCAAAAAGCTTCATCCTCCCAACAAGTGGCTATATAGTACTACTTTTCAAAAAACATTCTTAGACACATTGTAGGTAAGTTCTGCAGCAAATTAAAGGAAAGCACTTCTAGTATTTCTGGACTTGCCAGGTTATGACTACTCCTTTGCTAACAGGTAAGGAAAAAAAGAGGGGTGATGGGACAGTGAGCCTACCTGGAAGAAATATATGTAAAACCAGGCAATAAGAGAGTAGAGCTCTGGGCTGGTTGGCAGCTTGTCAGCAAGATTATAGTTTGCTTGACCCAAATGTTTTTGGACTTTCAGTGTCAAAAACGCTGTGGGTAGATGACAAGTTGCTTATCTTTTGAAAATCAAATTAAATGAACCAGAATATAGAATCATAAAATCGTTTAGGTTGGAAAAGACCTTTAA